GTGGACGTCATACTTTTCATTATGTAACTAACCTTATTTTAGGTAGGGGTGGCAATGGACTCGACCAGACCCGGACTCGACCTCGGGTCCGGGTCCAAAACCTGGATCCGAATATTATTTGGGTCTGTCATGGTATATGCTATGTGGATTTTATAAATGTTGCCAATACGTTTGTTTCTTAGAGATTTTCATTACGTAAAACATTAAGGAATGTGGGTATTCATAAATGTTGTGCAATATTGTAAATATTATCAATAACACGGGTATATGATACTAAGCAAATTGGCAAAAAAAAAAAAACTCATGGAGTCATAGTCATTGGGTGGCAATGGACCGGACCTGACTCGAACCCAACAGATTTAGGTATGGGTTCAAATTTTGAATCCAAAAAGTTGGGTCCAGGACCCATTGCCACCCCTATTTCTAAGCTTATTCTGACTTTTCTTTTTTTTGGTGGACAATCTAACTCTTTACTTCTTCCTTCCACACTTCTCAAAAGAACAATGGCAAGGACAGAAATTATTGCAAATGTAAGCAATCAAAATACACACCAATATTAATTAGCTACCACACTTATTGGCAAGCAAGAATCATTCCACTAACTCAAATTGATTAATGACTAATTAATGCAAGATGAGTGACAAATTTTATAATAGGACAATTTAATGGAAGGATGTGCAAAGTAAGGTTTGGTTTTGCGTGGTTAGCAGTGTTACATCTGAATAATTACATAACTTGTGGGTGTGTTTTTTATCATTTTAAATATTTTATATTACTTGACCAAGAGCGAGAAATATAAGCTTGTGCAATAATTACATGGCTTTTGCGTTATTGGTCTTTTTAAAATATTTTATATTGTGGGAGAAAATCAACAATGTGGGTGTCATACTCTCTTTTCAAGTAGATTAAGAGTTAATTTTTTTTTAAGGTATTAGTGGGGTGGTGTTAGGATATAAAAAATGTGGATGTCATACTTTTCATTGTGTAACTAACCTTATTTTAGGTAGGGGTGGCAATGGATTCGACCAGACCCAGGACTTGATGGGTAGACCCGACTTCGGGTCCGGGTCCAAAACTTGGACCTGAATATTATTTGTGTCTGGGTCCAGCAGAACCCGACCTGAATATTATGGTATATGCTGTGTGGATTTTATAAATGTTGCCAATATGTTTGTTTCTTAGAGATTTCCATTACGTAAAACATTAAGGAATGTCGGTATTCGTAAATATTGTGCAATATTGTAAAAAAAATAACTCATGGAGTCATAGTCATTGGGTGACAATGGACCAGACCAAACTCGAGCCCAACGGATTTAGGTATGGGTTCAAATTTTGAACCCAAAAAGTTGGGTCCAGGACCCATTGCCACCCCTATTTCTAAGCTTATTCTGACTTTTTTTTTTTGGTGGACAATCTTACTCTTTACTTCTTCCTTCTACACTTCTCAAAAGAATAATTGCAAGGACAAAAATTATTGCAAATGTAAGCAATCAAAATACACACCAATATTAATTAGCTACCACACTTATTAGCAAGCAAAAATCATTCCACCAACTCAAATTGATTAATGATTAAGTAATGCAAGATGAGTAACAAATTTTATGATAGGACAATTTAATGGAAGGATGTGCAAAGTAAGGTTTGGTTTTGAATGGTTAGTAGTGTTACATCTTAATAATTACATAACTTGTGGGTGTGTTTTTTATCACTTTAAATATTTTATATTACTTGACCAAGAGCGAAAAATACAAGCTTTTGCAATAATTACATGACTTTTGCGTTATTGGTATTTTTTAAATATTTTATATTGTGGAAGAAAATCAACAATGTGGGTGTCATACTCTCTTTTTTTTTTTTGTTGGGGTAATTTAATGAGGGAAGACTGACCCTATTTGTTTTTCAAGTAGATTAAGAGTTAATTTTTTTTAAGGTATTAGTGGAGCGGTGTTAGCATATAAAAAATGTGGATGTCATACTTTTCATTGTGTAACTAACCTTATTTGAGGTAGAGGTGGCAATGGATTCGACCAGACCCGAGAATTAATATTTTCATTACGTAAAACATTAAAGAATGTGGGTATTCATAAATGTTGTGCAATATTGTAAATATTATCAATAATACAGGTATATGATGGTAAGCAAATTGGCAAAAAAAAAAACTTATGGAGTCATAGTCATTGGCTGGCAATGGACCGGACCATACTTGAGCCCAACGGATTTAGGTATGGGTTCAAATTTTGAACCCAAAAGTTAGGTCCAGGACCCATTGCCACCCCTATTTCTAAGCCTATTCTGACCTTTTTTTTTTTGGTGGACAATCTAACTCTTTACTTCTTTCTTCCACACTTCTCAAAAGAATAATTGCAAGGACACAAATTATTGCAATGTAAGCAATGAAAATACACACCAATATTAATTAGCTACCACACTTATTAGTATGCAAAAATCATTCCACCAACTTAAATTGATTAATGATTAATTAATGCAAGATATGTAACAAATTTTATGATAGGACAATTTAATGGAAGGATGTGCAAAGTACGGTTTGGTTTTGAGTGGTCAGCAGTGTTACATCTGAATCGATTCCTACCACTGAATTACCTTAAAAAAAGAGAGGAGAGAGAATGAGTTTTTGCAAAATAGAGGTTGAAAACTCACTGTCATCTAGCTCCAAATTTTGTGGAGTGCACTTTTATAGGGACTCAATTTTTTATGCAAACCTGGTATCCGGATATCAATTTTGATCACTAATGAATGCGGTCCCTTAACACGTTATGTACGGTTGGCAATGGACCCGGGAACCGACGTCCGGATGGTTCGAGTATGAGTCCAAGAATTGGACTTGGCAAGTTAGGTATGGGGTCCAAATATTGGACTCTAATACTATTCGGGTCCAAGTCCACAAATAGTGTTATTATATTAATAATATTTAATATAAAAAATAATATTTAAATAATACACATTTATATATATATATATCATTTAAATATTTTTCTTTTAATTTTTAGGTCAAGTCCGATCCAATCTGGTCCAGGTCTCAGACCTGGACCAGACCCAACTGTTACCACCCCTATTTAAATGAGAGTGATGAAGCAACAATTTTGCTGGCCAAAAGGAGAGAGAGAACAAATTCCGTATTCAAAAGGAATTAGATCCAATGTTGTTAGATTCGCTTCAGAGTCTTATTCGGTTTGGTGAGAAAAATGAAACAATTCGGTGATTCAATCGATTTGGGGGAAGACTTCAAACTTTTTTTTATTTAGTATAAATAAATTAGATATTTATATATAAAATATATACAAATAATGAAAAAAATTAAAAATTAAAAGATAAAAATTAAAATTAAAAATTAAATAAAAATAAATTTATATAACTATTTATTTGTTGGCTGAAGTAGACCCGAAGCAGCCCAAAGCGGTTCGAATCTGACCAAAACGACAACACTAGGTCTTGTTTCTCTTCGATTTATGCTTAAAATCTGAAGGCTTCAGCTGAAGCTAAGTGAATTTGATATCATTGATTAGATCGATTGTGGTTGGAGATAGAAATAGTCTGGGGGTGGCAATGGGAAGTACGACCCGGCCAAGAACGGCCTCTGGCTAGGCCACTGAATTTATGAGGTTACTAAATTTGGCCAAGGACTAGGCAGGAAATCAAGGCTTGGTGTCCGGGCTGGGTCAAGGCATGCCTAAAATCTATGCCCCTAAAGTTCAGCCTGGGCATGCCCTACTAATTACTATTCATGATACTTTGAATTTATAGTACGTGCTGGTCCGGTGCGACTTTGACCGACCCTACTAAAAGGTTTAACTCATAATTCATCAAAAATTGCAATTCAAGCATCAGAAAACTTTAAAATCAATTATCTTGGCCTGAACATTATGGTGGTAAAAAAAAAAAAGATTTCACGCTTTTAAGAATAGTATATATTATAACAAACCCTAAAAATAAGTGTTCATTGATCTATAAGATCTGTACCATTTTTTGAATTTCAAATTTTATTGTCAGTGTTGGAAATTGATTTTAGAGTCATCATAAAGACTTCCGTTACCGAAAGTGCTTTCTGGCTGAGGATTTGCGATGAGGGTCTAGTTTGTTTCATAAAGCCAATGCCTTATAGAACCGTCATCCTTGATTAAAAGTGTGTGGGGTAATCCATAGAGTTTCTTTACATTGTCACAAAAAAGAAAAGCATTGAGAACAATGGGGAACCTATTTTGGGTACATTAATGCCTCACTTCCCAAATTTCAAGCCACAAGCACCAAGTCAGTTATTTATGTTAATATAAAACAAAATAGCAATGTGTTATAATAATTTCTGGTTAATGTTTTCACTTTGGAGGAAGATGTTCTAATCAAAGATGTTTTGATTATGGCATCCCCCCACTATGACCATTTCTGCCTGGAGCTTGCTCTCTAATGGTTGGCTTTCCTTTGCATATTTTCAGGTGCCTAGGTCAAAGATCAAGCTTGCCCAGATAATTTCATGGTGTGAAACCTAAACCCCCAATCCCTGCAACAAAAATAAACTTAGTTAACATTCCAAAAATAAAAATAAAAATAAAAATATCTAGCATTCAAAAATATTATTTTAGTTGACATTTAAAGAAAAAATTGCTACAAAAATGAACACAAATACGATTCATGCTTGTTCCAAATAACAAACAAAAGGGCATGCAAGTTTTCGAAACACCACCTTCTAAATAACATTATAATCATTTTCAGCCATTTCAATTCCTGATCATGTGTATTTTGATGAATTTTAGAAATAAAATAAAAAAATATGAATGAAACATTTAACAGTTCATATCTTATGTACACTTCAAATAATTCCCTTTTAATGATAAAACATTCCCCTTCTATATAATTGAATCTTGCAACTGGACAAAAGTGGTTCAACCCAAATAACATAACCATGAGAGCCTTGCTTCAGTGCTATGAGAGCTACCATGCAAAAACCAATATATACAATAACAAAGCCAGAGAGAGAGAGAGAGATAATGGTCAATGTGGAGGAGCATAGAAAGGCACAGAGGGCAGATGGGGCAGCCACAGTGCTAGCCATAGGAACAGCCAACCCCCCCCCCTCCCCCCAATGTGGTGGAGCAAGCCCACTTTCCTGACATTTTTTCAACACCACCCACCTCCAAGACCCTGATCTTAGCCAGAAATTCACTATCATTTGTATGTGTCTTAACTCTCTAGATATTCTCATTTGCTTTTTGTCGTCAAAGTTGCTTCGTTTCACCCTTTGGATTTTAGGCCTAGACCCAAACGAAGTGAAGCCAGGTGCTGTAGCTTCGGTAGATTCGATCCCCTTGGGGTTGCTTCGGTCAACTCCTGGTCTGTTTTGACCTGATCTTCGGCCAAAGCAAAAAAATATCTATATACAAGTATTAATTTTTTTAATATTTTATTTCATTATTTTAATATATTATATATATAAATATCTAATTTATTTATATTAAATTTTGAATTTTGAATGTAACAGCCACTTTTGATGCATCTGGCTTTTCTGGTGCTGATATATACCCATTATATGGCAGCAATAATGCTTGTAGTGGGCCAGGTGGCTCGGCCCTGTAAAACTAGAGCTTGGGCCACAATAGCCTGAGGGCTGGATTGGGCCCGACCAGGGCTAGGGCTCAACAGGGCTGGCCTCACTTTACTGTTTTTGTCCCTTCTACTCCATTTGAGGGCATAATCCCTCTTGAATTGTCTTTGGGCCATGGCCACTTTGGCCCAATCTGGGCCGGGCCAACCCTACATCGACAAACACACTAATCCCTATCTTCATTTTCTATAAAAAAAGGCACATACTCAATCTTAAAAGTTCAAGTAGATTTTCTATAGTTTAATTGGCACAAAACTGCTTCAAAATTGGTTGTGTTCCAAGTTCCAAAATGCAAAATCATGGGGAAAAAAGATCTAAAAATAACTGTCAAGAGATAATCTATTATATTTCTATTATCAATAATATATCAATAACGATAACTTATGTTGGGTGCCTACCCATTTTTTCAAGTAGATTGAAAGTTAGCTTTTTCAATAATATCTCGATAACAATAATTATCACTAAATAGTGTCTTATTGAGCATTCTTATAGGCGCCAAGATTGGGTTCAAGAAGCGCCACATGTTCCTTCCTCACTAAGGAGAGGCTCAAAGCCAACCCAAGCCTCTACACCTACATGGCCCCATCCCTCGCTGCACGACAAGATATCGCACTCGAGGAGATCCCGTGCCTTAGTAAATAGGTTGCCCTCCGTGCCATCAAGGAGTGGGGGACAGCCAGTGTCGCGCATCATCCACCTCGTCTTTTGCACCTCCATCTGCATCGACATGATAGGGATCGACCTGCACCTCAAACTCCTCAATCTCTCCCCTTTTGTCAATCGTGTCATGATTTATATGCAAGGTTGCTTCGCAGGTGGCACTACCCTCCGCAGCGCAAAGGACCTCGCAGAGAACAATTGTGGTGCTTGCGTCCTTATAGTTTGCCCAGAGATGATGTCAATGTACTTTCATGGGCCTATCAGGATGGACCCGGAGAGCCTTGTGGTCCCTGCCCTGTTTGGAGATGGCGCAGCGACTGTGGTCATTGGTGCTGACCCCATGTCAACTGAGCGGGGGCTCAACCAACTCTTCCGGGCTTGCCAAAGCATCGTGCCAAACAGCATGCACGCGCTCAAGGGCCCCATCCATGAGGCGGGCATGGCCATCATGATGAGCAAGAAAATACTAGAGTTTCTTGCCGGGTGTGTTTGGGATTGCTTGAGCCATGCACTATAACCACTAGGCATCACATACTGGAACACTTTATTCTACGTTGTGCATCCTGGTGGGCCACGGATTTTAGACAAGATGGAGGATGACCTCAAGCTGAAGCCTGAGAAGCTTAGGGCTGCATGTCACGTGTTGAGGGAGTACGAGAACATGTGGAGCGCGACTATGTTCGTCGTGTTGGACGAGATTCAAAAGTCATCATAGGAGTGAGGGGCGTCCATGATCGGAGATGGGCTCCACTTGGGTGTGCTCCTCGGGTTCGGACTTAGGTTCAGCATCGAGGCTGTCGTGCTCCATAGCATGGCTCCATACACACACTAGTCTCCCCTTACATGTCATGTCCTATAATCTTTGTTAGCGTGTTGTTGTAATGGTGTTTTCTTCGTTTAGGTTCTCTTCCAGTATTCCCATTCGTGTGTGTGCCCTTTTAATTTGCATGATATTTCCAAAATGTTATTGCCTCAAAGAAAAATCATTTGATACTATTTATAGAAACTCTGTATTATTATTTCATCATCATCATTTTAGCATTTTTTCAAGTAATTGGGGTCGGCTACATGAATCGTGGTTCTACTCTATTAAAGGTCATATCCTCAGTGAGGCTATAAGTTCCCACATCTTTTTGGATTACTTCCAACTACATCCTTTTGGGCCTACCTTTTGCCCTTTTTAGTCTATCCACTTGAATTAATTCGTACCTCCCAAGATGTGTTGTACTTGATCGACGCCACATAGAATATTAAAGAGAAGGAGAACATGAACTTAGACAGGAGGTGAGAAGGAAACCTTATCTCATATCAAGTCCCAATCAAACTATAAAAAAAAATTATCAGTCAAGGAAATTTCAAGAGAACGAAGCAAAACAGGACATGATCAAGAAACCAAATAGTTACGGGCATTGATACATCCCTTTGAAAGTTGTAAGTAGGAAGGGCCATTTGATAAAGACATAAGAGTTTGCAGTTTCTTTAATAGGTCAAATTTCCAAGTTTTATGCTACACAATTAAGAACAAATAAGGAAAGGTTGCCAAGAAAGCAAGTTATAAACTCAAGGAAACCATTAAACTTCTCGTCCTATTACACCCATGAGCCTATCATTAACATCATCATAGCCTTTTCCCAATTAATTAGAGTAGGCTTCACATGAACCTATGTATTGTAATACAAATTGATGTTCTTGTCACATTGAAAGAAACAATTAATACTAAATAGGTTGATAAACCATTAAACTTCTCGTCCTATTGCACACATGAACCTATCATTAACATCATCATAGCCTTTTTCCAATTAATTAGAGTCGGCTTCACATGAACCTATGTATTATAATACAAATTGATGTTCCTGCCACATTGAAAGAAACAATCAATACTAAATAGGTTGATGTCAATTATCACATTTATCCTTATTCACAGCCATAAAAATCTAGATGTGCCTCTCAAAGAGTAAAAATGCAAGAACTTTTGAATTACAACCAAAATAGATAATCTTAAGCCAAATGTCAACGAATAATGAAAAGAAAGCAAAAGCAAAAGGGAGAAAATTGAGAAAGTTACTATCCCAATGAATTCAAAAGTTTAATAGAACACACATGAATGCAAATAAAGCATCAAGGGTAAAAGTTGGACATGGTGATAAAGCATGGTGTATATAGTTTTTATTTTATTTTATTTCACCGACAAAAATACTTATAAAAGGTCTAAGTACAATAAAACTCTTGAAATAAACAAATAAATAATCAAAAGTGGTTAGGAGTCCTAAACAATTGTCTATAGAAGCCAATCATCACACACAAAGGTCACACAATCCTTTGGCTCACATACCTGGGCAATTTCAACCTCATCAAGGGACTACCCTTGAAACTCTCGTGAGTTTTGTTTCATGCCCATGCAATACGAGTTTTCCAACCTGACTAGCCTAACACGTCAAAGCCAAGTTTGAGTATCGACAAATAACATTTGCCTATCTTGGTCCACAAGGGACCATATTCCTAGAGTTTATGTGCCACGCGCTCCTCTTCTGCTCACTCCATAACAGAGCTCTACCGGTGCTGAAAAGCATCATGAAGAGATAATCCGCAAAAATTAGTGAGTTCTTACCTTTTCTACTGATTATTAAGCAGATAAATCCATAATTTGTTAACTATTTATGAAGCAGAAAACCAGCAAGTCGTTACTGTTTATTAAGCATAAAAACAGTAACCACAATTTTCATTTTCTGTTAACTGTTAATTTTTTTTTTTTTTTTTTATGATTATTCTCAATGTAGGGATTCATGTTAAATGATTTAGGTTTTTTCGCTTTGTTCTTTTTTTTTTTTCGCTTAAGAACAATCACCTTATGATAATCCCCAAATATAGAAAGGTGATTTTTTTTTTCTGATTTAATTTTCTTTTTTACTATGTTAAATCTCAAAATGTCCATGTTTTCCATTTTTGGGTGATTTTTTGTTCTCATTTTACTTTTCTATTTTTTTTAAATTTTTTTTTTCTGATGTTTGCGTTCTTTTTTTTATTTAGGCTCTTTATTTGTTATGGTGTGATAAATGTGCTCAAGTATTTATTCATTTGTTGATGAATGGACTTGTAAATTAGGGTTTTTTTGTAGATCTCTTATTTAAGGTATTGACAAAATTGAAGTGAAGGAGTATCACCATAATGTTTTTTAGGGTTTTCTTATGCTTTCTCATTGTGGCAATCTCTCTATATCTTATTTATTGCAAAAACTGCAATGGAGTTTTCTTATGGTTCGTCATTGTGGCAATCTCTCTATATCTTCTTTCTTGCAAAAACTGCAGTGAAGGATTGGCCTCTCTCTCTCTGTCTCACATTTTCTCTATATCTCTTACTAGTTTATGGGTTCGATAATCATTGAATAATCTCCCTTCTCCACCTTAGTATTCACAATGTAGTCTCTATCTCTTGTCGCATTAACTATCAAGGGCACCATTTTTTTAACTGGTTTACCGAACTTCTAATATTTTTTGAATGGCTTGATAACATTCTATACAAATAGACTGTGTTCCATGCATTCTTTTGTATTACACTTCTAAGCAATTTTTTTGAATATCTAGTGCCTCATGGTTATGGGGCTTGGGAGTTGTTTGTTATTTTGTATATATTTATGTTTAACTAATCCATGTCACATCCTTATTTCAGAAATTGCTCGGGTTGACAGTCCACTTCATCCATCAATCTTTTCAATGCACTCTAGAAAATTATTGTTGAGTTATTGCGAAGGTTTTATTCATTATGCTGCAAATTGTGGGGGCAACACTCTATCATAAATGTTAGCTTCCAATGCAATAGACATCTGGAACCCTACATGAAGGGAGATGAGTCCCACGACTGTGTATTTAATATCGAGTGCTTGATTTTGCTTCCAATGAAATGGACATCTTGAACCCTACTTGCTAGCTCTATTTCCCTTGCATTTCATGTCACATTTCCAATTGGAATTTTTTCATGCATGAATCAATGCTTATCGATGAAATTTATTGCATGAATCAATAATCAATAATTTTGTATGAATCAACTTTAAACTAAAACTAAATGTACATTTAGGTACCATTAAGATACGCGTGCTATAATATTGTCATTTATCTATATATATTTCTCTCTCTCTCTCTCTCTCTCTCAATATCTCTCGATTCAAGTGATTGCTTTCGTGTTACTACTTCAAATGAAACAAATTTATCTTTTGTAATGTACTAGTGTGGTGGCAATATTGGATGATTAGCTTTCAAACTTTTAAATAATTTATTTTTTAGATAAAATATATATGTTTGGTCTTGAGGGCTGCCTTTGCATGGAGTGAAATTCTGATATTAAGAAAATCAATTTTCTTTAATATTTATGTAAGTATTGGCATTCCTTGAATCTATTTACATGTTTGGTAATATGTTGGATGAATGGAAGGAACCTTATTTAATTACAAAATGTTTTAAAAAATTGCATTTCACACATCATATCAATGAATACATAATAAATAGTATTAGTCAGTTTCGAGCTTTCCCATTGCCAAACACGTCATATCAATCAAATACATAATGAATAGTATTGGTAAGTTTCGAGCTTTCCTATTGCCAAACAAGTGAAATTACCATCACTACAGTTTATCAAACAAGGTTTCAGCTTTCACCCTACCAATTTCACATGTATTCCAGAATCTATAAAAGTCAACAACAGGGTGATTCCCGGAGACACTATAGTGAAAATTATCGAGCGCTACCTAAAAGAGTAATTATCTCATCTCTTTCCCCCGCTCTCTCTTTGAAGATGTTCTTCGCTCTCTTTGGACGTGCAACCTTGTTTACTCCACACAGGTGTACCTCTGCCCTTTTCTCTCTGTAATAATACACTCATTTCCATATCTTCAATTTCTACTGGGAACCTCACTCTAAGTCTGATTCCTTGTAGTTGGACTTGAACTATCGAATTAGCATGGATTTGGAATCGCCATTGGGGAAAAAAAACACAATGTTAGGGTTTAATGCCATCTCAATTATGGAATATTTAGTGGATTCTATTGGCCTACAGGTTGACTGCTATAATTTCAGCCAATGACCCAGATTCAATTTGGGTTGATTTGACAGTTACAATCTCATTTCATATTTGAATTTTCATTTTTTTTTCTACAAATTCAAATTACTTGAAATTTTAGGCATTCATTCTTCTCATAAAGGTGCAGATAATAAAAATATAAAAAAAATAAATTCGAAAAATGTAAATTGACCAAAATATATCTGAAATGTTTCGAGGGTATTATAGTCAATTTATATGATGTGAATTATTATTTTTATATTTTTATTAGATTCTTATATTTTTGAAGAATAGACACTCCAAATTCAAGTGATTTGAATTTGTAGAAAAAAAATAAAAATTCAAATACAAAATGAGATTGTAACCGTTAGATTAACCAAAATTGAATCTGGACCATTGGCTGATACTGTAGCAGTCAACCCATGGGCTGACAGAGTCCACTCCCACACACATACATACATACACACACACACACATATTTATCTTAAAATATTCATAAGCACTGTAATTTTAGATATATATGATTAAACCCTAATATGAAGTATCTCTCAGTATAGTGTGTGCTTTTTTTTTTTGGGGTGGAATTTATGTAGTGCTTACTCAGTGATATGGTGTGCGTTGAGTTCGATTGGGATTAGATTTTTATTGGCTTATTTTTTTTTTTCGAATCTAATTCTTGAGTAAAATGTAATAATAGTCGGATAGGAATTTTATTAGGTTATTACAGGTTTGCATTGTTGTTATTTTTTATGGGAAAATTCAAATTTGCATAGTACCTATTGGGCAGTAACAATTATCAGATTTATTTAAAGCATATATCTGATTTTTTTGAAATTTTTGTTAGGAGGCATGGAATTTGTTGTTGCAAATTACCTATATTTTACTTTACTTTTTTTTTTTTTGGCTAATGTGATGTATGAGTATGCATTCCTTTTGCAAGTATTATCTACAAATTTATATAGCTCTTACTATAAAATATTAAAAACTATATAAAAAGATAAAATCTATGCAATATTGTCTTAGAATCCATTCTCACAAAAAAAGATAGGGCCAAATCCCTATTGATTTCTTTTTTATCACCTTGGTTATTTACCCAAAAAAAATCTATGCAATATGTTAAAGCTAAAATGAGGGTAATGCATTTCTTCGATTTCTTTCGGACATAGCCAAACACCAACAATGTATTTCCAGATTGTGCCTGAATGGCACACAAACAGTAGATAATGCATTATGCGAGTAATACCTTACACTTGTAATGTATTTCACTTCACAAATAATATATTTCCGAGTATGCAAACGGCCCAAAAAAAAAAAAAAAATCCCGCCAATAACTCGTTTCCCTGAAGGTGTCAACATACATACAGTGTGCCCCCGCGGTAGCCTACTATACGATCAAAAAAATAAGAACGCTCTACAACTTGAAAGCCGACCCCGCTAGCATCATGAAATTTGTTTACCAATTTATTCTCACTCTCTCTCTCTCTCTCTCTCTCTCTCATGTTTCTGGATTTCACGGCTAAATTGGTTTTGCGTGACAAAAACCCTAACTGCCACAAAACCCTAATATCTACTTTACTGTTGTGAGTCTTTTTCTTATTTCCCCTTATTTGGTTTCAGTCATGAAGCTTGATGTCAATGCCCTAAGGTATCTATCAGACGATGACTTTCGTGTGCTCACTGCTGTTGAGTTGGGTATGCGAAACGTAAGTTATTTTGCGTTTGCTCTCCTATTTTGGTCGTTACTGAAAGTCGTATTCTGGTTTGGGTTTTTTATTACTTTGTTTTACTTCATTTTATGTATTATTTATGATTATGTCTTTCTGGATTTTATATCTGTTCCTTGAAAATTTCTGTTTGTGTTGATGTTTTATTACTAATTTTTTGTTTTTTATCTCTAACCGTGAATTCGATGTTTGGTTTTTCTCTTTCTTTTAGTATCTCTATCATACATGGTTTTCTAGTTTATGAGTTGATGAATAAGCATCAGTGTGATTTCTATTCGAATTAAATTGTTTTTTTTGATAAATGATAAGTGCAATGGGTTAATTTTTACACCTATCGTACATGTCTGTTAATTGATCAAAGAACCACAATTCTCTATGAATTACTAAAGAAAGAATAATTTAGGATTTCACATGGGTTGTTACCGGTATCGGTTAGGACCTGCTAGGGTATCGTTACATTTGACCGACTCAGCTGAGTCTGTCAGAGAAAGAAAATGATAAAATATTCAAAATTGGCAAGACTTGGCCAGTTCCCACCTTCTCGTTTTAGGCTTTGGCAGCTTGCCGAGCCTGAGTAATTTGGATGACACCCGTGTCAGTCACTGGTTCTTAATCTTTGGAGATCTTTGGCGGTTCTGTTTGGTGATTGAGCGAATGTGGTTGTTGAGTAGTGTATTGTGGTTTTGTTAGTGTTATTGTATTAAAAATGTCTAAGAAACTGTGTAAAGTAAAGGTTAAGAAAAGAAAGAGGCGAGAAGAAAAAAAAAAAAGGTTATGTAGAAGTTAAAGAAATAAATAAACTGAGTTATATTGATATTTTAGAGTTTTTAAAGTACCATACCTATTATGAACATATTAGTACCATGACCCATTATGAACTTATTAAAGTACTCCTTATTATCTAGCTAAGAAAGGGTATTTTTATTTCCATTATTAATCACCCCATATCAATTTAGAGCATATGTGGACGGTGTGAGACTCCCCTATTTCATACCCAAATGCCTGCTATTTTACGTGTAAAATGTTGTTAATTTTCATTTTGGAGATGTCTAAGAGGCACTGATTGAAGAAACTAACCAAAGAGAATGTCTAAGAGCAAGTGATTGACTACTCAGGCGAGTCCTCTTGGAAAATCCCAAACTCGGTGAATATAATTAACATATAATCAATTAAAATTTTGATTTAATCTTTGATCAGATAAAGTGATTGACTTATATTTCATTTTTTTTATACATTTTTATAGTTTGTCTTTTAATATTTTTCTAATTTTTCTCATTTTTTTGAAACTATGTTTTTGAACGAGTTTTCTAAGTTTTTTTAACGAAGCTTTTTCTCATATTTTAGGTGTTTTGCTGGTGTGTATCATTTTTGTTTTTCCTAATATCTCCTGTTTTTAAGGATTTTTCCTTTTTTTTTTTTTGTGGGGGTGGGAGGTTTTTTAGGTGATTAGCTGCTTGGAGCAGACTTGGTGAGTTGACTCAGACTCATTCCAGCCAGGGCCCGAGTTCTTCAGTTGAACCGAGTTGTCAAATACTAAGAGACTTTAAACAAAAAGCTAAGGCATCTGGAACTTGTTTGGAGTTATTGAAGTGCCTCAAACTCTTCTCAGCTACCCAAAGCTTCCCCGTGTTCCAAAGATGCACTTTTCCTGCACCATATGACCATATGTGAACAATCTGAGACCTCCTATTTTATATCGAAGTACCTTTAGTGAGGTGGTAAAAGTGAAAATTTTATTGAAATTTATGTATGTGATCTGATACTAGGAGGAATTTACATGAACGGGAAAATTTATGATTTGGAATGGTAACATAGCCAGGAACATGATGCGTATTGGTGTTTTGGTGGTTACTGAAATGATTTTTCCATTTACAATATTTTCATCATTTAACTAAGATGGCTATAACACTCCATATGTGCTTTCTATGTCACGGAAGTTCCATACTTCCGTTTACGCAAAAATGCCCCAGTTTTCAAACATTTGAGACTACTGCCCGCTAGTTGTTGCGGGAATTTGAATTTCAATATTCGCTGAAGTGCCACATTGACAAGCTTTGGCTTTCAAAAAGGAATGCGCTTGAAGGAAATGGACAAAAGAATTTCTCTAATTCGTTTATATTTTCATTTTTTTCTTGTAGTTTTAGTGAGAAAATGGGAGAATTTGGATATCTAAGGGCAATTCATAAGTACTTACAGGGCACAACGGCTGTAATTAATTAATTACTGGACTATTGGAGTGTTATATTTTCTGCAAGAGTGTTATTTGTTCTGTTCGGTTGTGGGTAACCTTGGAGCCCGTTCTGATTTCCTTCTACTTTGGTAGTCTGTTTCTTGCATTGAGTGGTAAATGATTTGTTATTCTTTGATCGGCTTTCAGCATGAGATTGTTCCAGCGGACCTTATCAACCCAATAGCTGGTCTCAAGTAAGTCACTGAAATGCCTTTTAGTAGGCATTGACATTTTTTTGAGCACATACTCTTTCTTAAAAGGTCATAGGGTTTTGAAATATGGGCACTTGGTAAAGATTGACTCAAATTATATTGAACATCTTGCATATTCTTATGAAGCGTTTGTTGGAACAGGCATGGTGGGACATATAAAGTCTTGAGGAATTTACTTAAACACAAATTGGTGCATCATGATTCCTCAAAATGTAAGCGTGAATTCTTGATTCTCAGGAGCTGCTTTCAGTGGAGGGCATGCATGGAATTGATAGTTGTTTCTTGTGCGCAGATGATGGCTTCCGTCTTACATATCTTGGCTATGACTTTCTTGCCATAAAAGCTCTCCTAAACCGTGGTGTATTTGTGGCTGTTGGTCGACAGCTAGGTGTTGGAAAAGAATCAGGTACTTGACTGAACTCTATCGTATATTATAATGTACAAAAGGTTGCTTTACATTTTTCAGTCTTGTATTGCTTTACACTTTCAGTCATGTACTCTCTATCGTCCAAGCTCTAAAGTACATGTTCGCATAACTCTGAACGCATTCCATTATAGCTTTGCCCACTTTGTTCTTTGTTTTATGACAATGGCCATAATGGTAGGCTTCTTAATGAAGATTCAAACATTACTAGGAATCTTTCATGATATTTGTCCATGTACTCAAAACATCCACGTACAAGATCTACTTTTTAAGCTAAAGCCTTAATCAGCAAGTTTTCCCTTTTATTACTGTGTTCTACCGCCCATGTATGATGTAAATGATCTAACTCTCCTTATCCAAAGAAACATAAACAAACTCTTTACAGTCATTTGCTGATGTTCTTGGTATCCGACTTATTTTTCTAAGGCTTGAGATAATACGCAATAGGTAAATGACTGCTATATGTCAGATGCTTCGGTGGTAGGGGCTCCATCTATTGATTTCTATCGACTTGAACAGGGAAGTGCATGGTGTCATGATTGTACATTTGACAAGGAAATCTTGTTCCTCATCCACTGTTTGATGGACCTACATGTGTCACATTGGAAAGAGGTTCAACATTGAAAAAGTAGGTTGTCCTTGTAATCCTAGTGAGAAACTTCTTTAGGTGTCCAGGTTTTGCTGATATTGTGGGGAAATCTGTGGCAAGATGTTGCTTAGTCTATTCATGGCCTGGTCAGCAAGGGATTTTGCCCTCAATTGGAAAATAATTATTAGATCAAGGTTGATAATGAATCTCAACTACCAAACTCTGGCTCCCACCACAAAATGGACTTTTAAAACTCAACTTGATGGTTGTTCTCGGAGCAACCTTGGCCCGACAGTTATCAGGGGCTTTTTTTTGAGACGAGTTGTGTCAGGCAATGCGGTCTTTCTCAAGCTCTATAGGAGTTGCTGACTTGACAGAGGAGCTTTGGTCCTGCTGGAGAGGTTGAAACTCTACGCCAATTGGGGGCACAATCTTCTCGTGGAAGGTGATACCAGAATGTTATAAGATGAGTTCCTTAGAACTTTCGCCATGCCAATGAGACTTGAGCCAGTTTTTGTTCATCGATTTTTATACTATCAGGCTGCTGCATGTTGCCCTCAAGCACTCTTGGAGGAAGCAGATGCTATGTTCGATACACTAGCTAAGGAAGGTGCCTAATCACAGGTTGTGACTGTCTAACATGGCGTCCCCTCTGTGTATAAGGAAAGTTGGTAGGGCATGTATCCACCTCATCCCTGTCCCCCCTAACCCAGGTTGTAGTACAAAAAATCCCTCATATTGCCATTCGAGCTGGCAGTGCCGAGGACAAAGAGCCGTGGGATCTCAAGAGAGTGATAGGTGGATCCTAAGAAATGCAAGACACCACAAGGGGGAAGTGCTTTTGGCACGGATAGTATCCCCTCCTTAAGGGCTGTTTGTCTCTTTTCTTTCTCATACCGGAAGGGAGCCGGCACCAGGATCGTGCTGGAGCCAACCATTCAGATTTTTGTTGCTTGACGGGAAATGGATTAGTAGAGCAAATCCGCTGAAAAACGGCTCATCCTCTCTTTTGATAACATTTCTATTGGAGAGGGAAATCCCTATTGTACTTGGCTCCTCGGAGTGGGTTGCAAACTCGATCAGGGGAAGCAGTCCTCTTGAGTATGGGTGAATGTTCTCTTCGATGAAAGTACAGTACCGTTATAGGCCAAGCAGATAAGGCAGCGAGCTTTTTGTTTCGCATTGGCGACTACTGCAGACATGTTGCTTGGTTGTATCCCTTTGAGAAAGTGCTTGTCATTGAGGTTTATCTTGTGTACCTGCATTTGAGGGTTGCATCCCTTCTCCTCTCCTTGGTTACTGAACTCGTCCCCCCCCCCCCCCTTCTCTTTAGTCTCTCATCAGTTGCTCGTTACCTCTAAATTGATTGGATGTCACAATTTGATAAATTGCTATTTTGTAAATAGATCCCGTGAGTCAATATTTTGTAAAGAGTGCTTCCATGTGTGAGTTGTATATTTGTTATACTTTTAAAACTCAATTGCATTGAAAAAAATGTCACTTGGTATTGAGTGCATCCTTCCTCACATTATTGGAAGATCGTAGTTATTATTTGCTACTAATAGTGGTGTTTAATGTTGTTACCTCAGATATCATCCTACGGTGAACTCCTTTCAAATTTCTATTGATTACGAAATGAGCATCATGGATACTTATTGTTGTGATGAATTAGATGCCTTATTAGGTCCTTCTTATGGGTGCTTCACTGCTCAGTTGATTCCATTCTTGTCAGCTGTTCCTATTTAATTACTCATGTTGTTATTCTAGAAGTCCAAGAGCTTTTAATATGGTAGTGGATTTCAAGGTGAAGCATTTTCTAAATTGAGCAGAAGGTATTTGGCTCTGATATTGTTCCTGCTCATATGTGTGTGTTTTTTTAATTATTAGATAAAAAGTGAAATCCACCATAAGTATTTTTCTTGTGAAAAAATGGGGAAGTTTGGTCTGGTTTACCAATAATTGGTGAATAACTGTTTGAATATGATAGGTTCGTCATTTTTATTTTTTTTAACAAACTTCTTTTCATGTCCAGATATATTTGAGGTTGCTGCAGAAGATGGCACCATTATGGCTATGAAGCTACACAGGCTTGGTAGAATCTCTTTCAGGGCAGTTAAATCGAAGCGGGATTATTTGCTGCATAGAAGCAGTTATAATTGGCTCTATTTGTCCAGGCTTGCTGCTAAGAAAGAATTTGCATTTATGAAGGTTGTTTATTCATCTTTATGAGTGATTTTATGTGTGGTAGTAAAGCTTTAAAATTAGAAAAGTAGTATGTATTGTGCAATAATGCGTACTCGCATGCCAACGTTTAGCTCAACATTGCAACCTGTAACTGACACCCTAACTTGCATAAGGTGCACTTAGGTTTTCTTGCTTCTTTTCTTGGCTTTAACCGCCTTTTTTACTACCACACACCCATATTCATCTCTTGGCTAAGGCCTTCTTTTTACTACCGTACCAATTTGCATCTCTTATTATTGAAAACCTACCCATCCATGTGTTCTTGCAGGCTTTGGAAGAGCATGGATTTCCTGTTCCCAAAGCTGTGGACTGCAACAGGCACTGTGTGGTGATGTCACTTGTCCCTGGTTACCCACTGTAAGAATTCGTTTTGTTATTCTAAGCCATACAGCATCTGGCATGATTAATTTAAGGGAAATTTATTAAACTACGCCTCAGATTTGAACTATTTAGTGTCTTAACCGCTTGTTTTGATCTAATTTCAAATTGACCATTATTCTTTCAATCAAATTTCAAATCACCCATCAAATGACACATCAAAATGGGTTTTCAAAATTATCAAAACACCACTAGGATGCAATGTTAAATAGTTCAAATTTCACGATATTTTGATAAATTTCCCGATTTAAAATTAAAAGTCTTGTCTTCCGATCTTATGAACTGAATAATTTTTTAAGCGAGCCATATTGAGCTTGTGTCTAGTGCTTGTTTTGCTAACATTTCTTAGTAAACTATATTATAGTTCTTGACTATGATGGCAATTATGGACTTATGGCCTCACTGAGGGTATGGTCATAGATTAGAATGGCGGATTAAGATTTGTATAGCCGACCCAAATAGTTGGGAAAAGGCTCTAATGATGATGATGATGACCATGGTGGTAATTATTTTTTGTATATCAAAATTGCCTTCCTTTTATAATTTTAATCCTTCTCTCCTAGCAACTCACCGTTTAGAAAACATTGAATTTTGTCTGGATTATCGTCCATTTTTCAGTAGGTAAGTTACTGAAAAACCTTCCATCCTTTTAGGCATTTTTTTTTTTTGAGTAAAGTTTATTGTATTTCATTGGCAAAAGAGAACAATTGGCAAAAGAGAACAAACTTACAAGAGGTATGGCGAACCTGTGGGGTCGCACTATACAGGCCCAATCAAGGTTGAAGCAGTGTACAAAAAAGAAAAGGAATATGGCCACACATAGAGGCAGAGGGAGGTAAAGGATTTAGGTCCCCAAAGTGGAACTGGATGCCCCCTCCTTAGCCAGCCCTGTCAGTGTCATAATGCTTCTCTATACACGGATCGCTAGACAATGCTGAAATCTCTGGTGATGTACAAAGTCTCCTAAAAAATGTCATCAAGACGCCAAGGCCAAGAAGAACGATTAGGGGCCCAGGTGATGATGTTCTTGGCGTCTCCTTCCATAGTCAGATTGTGACTCCATGAGGGGTCGCACTTGCGAAGGCCCTCCAAGTGGGCGAGGGCCTCAGCAAGAGTGGAGTCCTCGATGCCGATAGGGCGGGAAAAAGACATCAGAGTACATCCTTCACTGGTGCGTAGAAGCCCCCTATACCTGAGGATCTTGGGTTGCCAAGGGAGCACCCATTGCTTAAAAACTCCCATTTCCGGTGATCTCCAAAGGGAAACCCTTGAGATATCAGGGGGGGTGAGGCCCAATAAATTGGACCAGTTACTATGGAAGTCAGTGAAAGATAGGTTCTTGAACAAAGGGTGATTGATGGCCCAGAAAGCCAAAAGATTCCTGACCTTCTCGGGCAATTGTTTGGCCGTGGATCTATCTCCCCTGAAAATTCTGTGGTTTCTTTCAATCCAAAGAACCAACACAGTGGGAGAAATGGAAGCTGTACACAGGAGTTTCCTTGCCTTTGGCCAAGGTGTTTGGGTAAGGGCTTGAAAGAGGTGGGGCATAGATCTCAGAGTGACCCAAGCCCAGTTGAACCAAGTCAGAATGGATCTCCAAACTGCTCTCGATAACTTGCAGTGAAGGAGTAGATGTTTGTTGGATTCTTCATCCTCGAAACACAGTGCAAATCTGTTGGGGGTTTGAACTCCTCTCCTTTGAAGCTGGTCCTGTCCTTTGAGGGGGCCAGAGGGGTAGGTGGAGGAGGTGAAGTTCGAAAGAAAGAGGAGACCGAAAATAAGCCTGAGGGGGAAGGGGCCCATATGATCCTATTGGCACCAGAGAGTGGGAGGAACACCGTGTGCATTATACCAGCCATAGACTAGAACTCCTTTAGCTCGTACTCAAAGAGGGGTCTCCTAAAATTAGGTGACGATGTAATCCAAAAATAGAAAAGTTATCTGCCACCGAAGAGAGGATTGCGGGCTAGAATGAAGAGGTTGGGATATTGCTCCTTGAGAGGGGCATGGCCATACCAAACATCTATCCAAATTTTCACTTGCGTTCCGTCTCTTGGCCGGAACCGAATATTTTGAAGGAAAAAGTCACTACTTCTCAGGATATACCTCCCGAAGCCAGAAATATTACCGCTGGTTTTGCATTCAGGCGTCCAATGGTTGACACCATAATAGTATTTGAAGTTGATAACCGCCCTCCAGAGATGATTCGATTGGGTGGCAAATCTCCACCACCATTTAGCCAAGAAGGCCATATTATGGTTTCTAAGGCTGCGAATACCCAAACCCCACAAAGATTTAGGGAGACAACTTATCTCAAGCTATAAGATGATATTTGTGTCCTTGCTCCCCGGCCCAAAAGAAATTCCACTTCAAACGCTCTAGATGGTCTGCCACAGAGGCGGGGATGCGGAAGAGGGACATCTGAAATATTGGAGTATTCGCAATGGTGACTTTGATAAGCGTAAGTCTTCCAGCCTTGGACAAGTTCCAACCCGCAAACCTCCTATCAAATTTATCAAGTATATTACTCAGGGAGATATCCTAGGTAATTCGAGTTTGAGGGAAGGCTAAGGTAGCTAGAAGGTAGGTGATCCATTGCACAACCCCAGGTACTGGCAAGCGTTTGGACTAAGGATGGGCTTGTGCAAACTCCCATCATTTGGGATTTAGCGAGATTAGCCGTAAACCCAGTTGCCATTTCAAAGCACTTGAGGAATGTCCAAAGAGTGTCCACTTGACTAGGTGAAGAGTTGCAGAAGACAAGTGTATCATCTGCGTACTGAAGGTGGGAGACGACAGGACCTAGGCTTCTAGATTGGAATCCTCTCACTAGGCTTGATTGATAGAGTCTCGAGACGGCAGTACTGAAGACCTTAGCTATAACAGTGAACAAGAATGGAGAGTGTGGATCGCCTTGTCGTAAGCCCCTACTAGCCTCAAAGAATCCTTTCGGTGTTCCATTGATGAGGATTGAGAAGGTAGGATTTGTAATGCACCCTTTAATCTAGCTTCTCCACTTCGGACTGAACGCCATTCTTCTAAGGGTTTCGTCGAGGAGTGACCATTCGACGTGGTCATAGGCTTTCTCCCAATCAAGTTTAATGGCCAGACCGGGGTTCTTTGAATGATAATGAGAATGGATGCACTCATGCGCTACTACGGCCCCATCCAAGATCTGTTGGCCCTTAACATATGTCTCCTGAGTGGGGGGAGATTACCGAGGAGAGGACAGTCCTCAGTCTAGAGGCAAGATCCTTAGAGAGCAATTTATAGAAGCTGTTGATCAAGCTAATTGGTCTGAAATCCCTCAATTCTTCGGTTCCTTCTATTTTTGGGACAAGAGCTATGAATGTAGCGTTCATGGCCTTATTGATCACTTCATAGGCATGGAATTCGGCCAATAAGTTGAGGATATCAGGATGGATAACATCCATAATTGTTTGAAAAATGCCATGGGGGGTATCCGTCAGGGCCAGGGGCTCGGTCAGGGTTGAGATCATTCAAGGCTTTGAGGATTTCGGGTTTTGCAAATGGGCGTTCTAACCTCCTGGCTTGCTCAGGAGAAAGGGTGTGGAAAGCGATATCATGCATGATGGGTCTTGGCCTAGAAGGGGGTGAGAAGAGGTCTGTGAAATAGTCCTCTGCTGCATTCTCGATAGAGTTAGGGTTGTCCATTACTGAATTCCCGACTTTCAAGTTGGTTATTGAGTTTTCCTGCCTCCTACAGTTTGCTATTTTGTGGAAATAACCTGTATTAAGGTCTCCTAGCTTCAACCACTTGACCTTAGCCCTTTGAGACCGGTTAAATCTCCTCCTAACGGAGTGTGGACTGGTAATCTATTTTGGCCTTGGATCGCTCTGCCATTTTTGCTGGAAGTAAGGGCCTAGATTCCTCCTAGGTATCCCACACCACAACGGAGTGTAGCAAAGCCTCCTTCTTGGGCTGAAAGTTACTTAGGTGTTGAAATTTCCAGGTTTTTAATGCTGTCTTCAGCAATTTAAGCTTTTTTTGGACCCAGTACCCTACCCAACCACTGACCCCCAAAGAGCTCCATGAGTCGGTCACGAGCTGCTTGAAATTTGGTTCTTCAAGCCACCAAGTTTCGAGCATAAAAGGTTTGGGGCCCCGAAGGGAAGGTTGGGTATCAAGGCAAATGGGGGGGTGGTTATAGGTGGGTTTTGGCAACACAGAAGAATGAGTACCCGGAAAAGAATGATCCCACTCCAAAGAGGTGAGAAATCTATCAAGTTTGGAAAGTGTTCGGGTAGAGGAATTATTGGACCAAGTGAATTAGGCTCCCTCAAATGGAATGTCAAGGAGATGATTGAGTAAGATAAAGTCCGAAAAAAGATTCATAGCTTGAGAGATTGTGAGGGGTTGGAGTTGTGATCGTGAGGCCAACAGGTTATGTTAAAATCCGCGCCTAGACACCAGGATGCAGGGCTCTGATTGGGAATGATTTGCAATTCTGACCAAAATGAAGGTCTCAACCCATCACAATTGGGGCCATACACCGCTGTCATTTCCACTGCATTCCATCGGATAATCTCGATAAAAACACAGTGACGGAGAAATAGCCGATAGAGGAGTCCTGCTGGGAGTGAAGGGTAGGATCCCAGAGGACCCAAAATGCCCCCTGATGCAGGCTCTGATTGGCAATGATTTGCAATTCTGACAAAAAATAAGGTCTCAACTCATCACAATTGGGGCCATACACCGCTGTGCATTTTCCACTGCATTCCATCGAATAATCTTGATAAAAACACAGTGACGGAGAAATAGCCGATCGAGGAGTCCTGCTGGGAGTGAAGGGTAGGATCCCAGAGGACCCAAATGCCCCCTGATGCTCCAATTGCTTCAAGGGCAAGCCATTGACAAGGTCTAGGTCCCCAGATACTTCGAATGGCTGGAAGTTTAGGGGCCGGTTGTTTAGTGTCAAACAGGGCAAGGAGAGAAGGAGAGTGCTTGACATAGGTCT